GATGCGATTCTCCTCGACAAAAACTTGTTCGCGATTTCACCATTCAGTTCCGCTCCGATCCCTGCCATCGTCTGCTTCCGCCTCCTCTGGCTGTCCCTATATGCCTTGAGTTGCGCCTCATACTTGACTAGCTCCTCGTACTTCCCGCTTTGGTTAGAGTCCGCCATGAACTCCTGCCTCAATGCTGCTACTCGGTCCTCCAGATGCGATACTGTCCTCCCGATCCTTTTCCTTTCCTCCCTTGCATGAGCTTTGAGGCTGGCCTGCAACCCCGCGAGTGTAGAGTGTAGACTCTCCCTACCAGTCCCGCCTTGGTCCCGTAATACACGTCGGATAGTGTCGCGCACCCCTGGATGCCTCGTCCTGTCCGCGTGCATCTTCCACAGCCCCGGGCCCTGCGCCGCTCCAGTCTGCGCCATCAGCACCGTGGTAATGCCGAACCAATGATCAGTGACATCTTGTGGTGCCGCCGTGTGATAAGCATCAGCTACTAGCGGAAGAAGGGAGGACGATGCCAGAGCGCGGTCGATGCGTGAGCTTGTCATGGACGCTTTCATCAGAAAGGTGTACTCCAGCCTCGATGGGTACAGCGTCCGAAAGGTATCTTTAAGGTCCCATTTAGAGCATATGTGAAGAAGCCTTTTGTTTTCTGCGTCCGTTCCTTGCCGCGACGTTCTGTCCATGACTGGGTCTGCAACAATGTTGAGATCACCTGTAAGAAGCACATGCCCCGATTGCGTTAGTGAGTCTACAAAAGGGGACAAATTGTCTCTGAAAAAACTCCCTCTGGTTGTTGCCTGTGCAGGAAAGTACGCCGCAATCACTGTCCAGGACAACTCTCTCCACTTCATCGACACAGCAACCAGCCTTCCCGACCCATGCCGCTGGACATCACCGAAGCTAATCTCATTGTTAAAGCTGAGTACCGCCACACCGCCTGCCGTTTCCCCGGGATCTACTATCGTCGTTGCATCAGCACCAATTTGCGTCCAAAAATTATGATCCGCCTGTAATCTGGTGTCGGTGAGAACAATCACGCCCTTGGACTTTTTGAGCCAGTCATGCAAGTTCTCCCTTTTTACCGCGCTTCCCAGCCCGTTCACATTGAGCGCGGTGATGATGAGTTCCTGCTGTTTATCCATTAAACCACTGATGGAAACCCCTTCGCATCCACGGGTTAGAAGTCTTTGTTGTTGCACGTAGCATAGCAGCTCCCAGGCTTATCTTCACAGGCATCCACCGGTCCATAAAACGCGTTATAAGCATGATTCCACACAGCACAGCAGTTGCTATTGAGACGCTAAACACAGCTCTGCATACTATCACTTCATGGTACACCTTGAGACAGTCTTCCAGCTTCCTCTCCCTTTCCGTTAAGGCTCCACACCCTCCCTGACAGGTCATTTGAGGAACTCCTTCCTGAGGGCAGCGACATTGATCGCACCCTTGCTGTCGCGTGTGGCCGCACCCGCCGTGGTCAAATTGGTAGTGTGACGGACAGAGGCGACGTGCACAGCTGCAAGCTCCAGATTGTTCCCATACGCCTTGCCACAAGCTTCGATGACGCAGATCCAGTCCTCTCGAGATCCGCCAGTCGAGGTAAGAACAATGGCCGGGTCTAACAGAATCGCTTTCAGTGAATCTGTGACTTTCAGTGAGGCCGCTGCGAGGAGGAGAGGAGAGAGAAAAGTCAGTATCATGTAAGAAGAGAAAGGCGAAACAGTCTGTGCAAGGCGTAGTATCTGAAGTACCGTTAACTTCATGGATACGTTTAACCGTGAGGTTCCATTTCGCAATGTTAGCCTGACGGTCAGTGACGTAGTCGTCGTGATAGTGCGTCATGTGATGACCATTGCAGTAGTCGCAGCTGAGCGAGGGAAAATGCAGCAGCAGCTTCTTCCCATTCATTGCGGGGTCCAGGATGAAGTGACGCCAGCGGTATGGGTCGTTCTCATGCTGAATCAGAAGGCCGCGGATCTTGTCCGTGTCCATCCCAGTGACGGGATCTTGCACACGGTGAAAGCCGTAGCCTTCCTTAAACGGCGGCTTCCTCCTCTTTACCAACCACACCATCACCAGAAACTTGCGGATCTGCTCCGGAGTCAGCTCAACACAACTTCAAACGCCTTCGGGTGAAGGGAGCGAGCACGGAGGTAATCCGCATTTTCTGGGAACTGCCAGCCCAACTTCAGGGAAGTACCATTAATACAGTCATGAGCAACAGCACGCTTCCAAACAAAAGCAGCATCCTTTTCATTGATGAAGGTAACCTGGACACGGCCAAACCGCTCCTTCGATAGGTAAGTCGGCAGCAGCTTCTGGAACTTTGTTGTTGCGAGCACGTCAGCTGATAACTCCTTCCTCCAGTGGACCAGGTGAGCATTGACCGAGTCCGCGGTCCTTGGGACCTCTTCGATATGCTTATCTGGGATCAGCAGGGTCAGCGTATAACAGATGTGAGCAGCAACAAGACCAGCCATAACAGGATCTGCTCCTTCATCAGGATCATCGCTGAGGTAGCCAGCTCCGTCACCCCCCATATCCTCTTCTTCTTCAGGAAACTCCATGCCGAGCTCAGCCTCTGGCGACATTGGCTCAGACACCTCCGGCTGATGAACCTTCTCTTCCTTATTGACTGTTCCCCCATCTGGTCCTTTGCCTTTCAGCGCAGACAGCCTGGCAGCAGCCATTGATGAAGACTCCGGGCGATCCACCTGATCAGAGTCATGCATCGATCTTCCAGCAGCATCCTTAGCACCTGGTGTGCCATCAGTCTTCCATGGCGAGACAGGTGCACTAAACGGTTGCGAGCGAGCTCCAGCCTTGGCTCTAGCCTTCGAGGCACGACCTTTGGGAGGCATGAGTAAGGCTGTTGTTGACGGAAGATTACAGACTGGTTGCTTGATAATAAAAGGAATGCCTTTGAGACGCTTCTTATATGACGGTAGATTCATAGGAGTGGAGACCTCGATAATGTCCCCTTTGTCAATAAGCAGCCGCTGTGAGCCTCGATATTCCCATGGCGTAATATCTTGGGAAGACCATTGATGAACACTGATTGTATGACCTTGGGAGTTTAGAGCCTTGGGATCCACTGAAGATTGATAAACACTGAACATGTTCTCTGTATGAACACAATTTGTTAAGTCGTTTATTAATCTCGATGCAAGGAATCCGAAGAGCTGAGTTAAAGCCCCATCAGGCAAGGTTTCAGTGGACATTGGGTCTTCCGAAGCGCTCGAGGTAGAATTCATGGCGGGTGCTGCATTTTAACTTTGACTTTTTACCAGCTCACATTCGTGTTTGTTTTAGGTTTGTTGTTGGATCCATTACAAGTGTTCTTGCTTAGAGGCTCTCGCTAAAAGAGTCCCTTTTCCCCCCAGAGTAGAATTTTCCGATATCGCCTAGGTGTAGCCCGACCTCTACAGTCACTTTTTTGGCGGGAAATTTTGCAGCTTGACTTAATAATTGCTCGAATCAGCTCCACAGCCAATCAGAGGGCCCAGATCGAACCAGCCCAACATTCAGGGAAAAGGATAAAGAAGGGATGCTCGGTTCAAATTTTAACTTTTCAATTGTAGTTAATTGTTTCTCTTGATCGGGATTACTTCTCAATTGTGTCGCGTAGTTCCCGGCGCACTCAACGATGACATATCATTTATCTCGATTACGGGGTAAAACTAAAGTTGTTACCTTCTATTCATGCCCCAAATCATAATTGATTTTGTTTTATGCCCGGAAGTCATGCGGCATTGATCAACACGGGGAACCGTGCGACGAGAAGTTGAAGCAAGCGCGGTCCGAATCTACGTAAAATACCGAAACCAAAACTTAGTAGCAAACAAACCGCGCTGCACGTACTTTTACTGAAACGGGACTAAAAGTATCCCGTTTTGCCCGGGGTTTGAAGGTTTTCGCACATAGTCCGCGCGTGGCGTGTCATTCTGTCGGACTATAAACGAGAACATTTGTACCACCCAACAGTGCCAACCAACATGAAGTGCACAGTAATTCACGGGCAAAATGATGTGCATTGCTGGTTGGGTCTCGGTCCAGTTCTGATCCTGCTTTCAACGTGGGTGGGCCTGGTTGTTGGTTCATTGAACGATGTATGCAGAAAGCCTATTGGCTATCGCACAGAATGTGTGCATGCAGACAGCCTATTGGCTATCGCACAGAATGTGTGCCTTCCTGGAATTTGTTGCCCATGTTCCTGGAAGCAAGGGTACGGTAATTGTGCTGGTTGGGTTTCGTTTTCCACTGTTTTGGTGTTGTCTGTTGCGGGCAACATGCGCCAGAACCCCCACGTTTTCGTGTCTGGTTGCACAGGTGGAAGGGTTGAGCAGTGACGCACAATGGTTTTGTATTCTCGACAGTCGAGCTTCGGACCGAGGCTCCGTTGTCGTTCCGGTTTGTTGTGTTGTTGGTCAGATGAGCTTGGCAGCCAAAGTGCAGCCGAACAGGCCTTGATTGGAAGGCGAGACATCACACCACGAGACAGGCTCCTCTACGATACAGGCTCAGTTTAAAAGTGGTTCACCGAGGTCAAAGTGTTATACATTACGGTACTACTATAGCCCCGCTCCGCCACCGCTCCACTTCCCGCCCGCTTTTCCTTGTACTTGCCTTGATGTTCGAGTTGCGTGGAAACGGGCTCTTGCTTCTTGCTCCCGTCAGCTCAGGTAAGCACTGAGCAGTGTAATGGTTTGGTTGGTGTGATGTGAAGTCAACCCATTTTTGGGGTTCATATAGCCTGCTTTGTTCTTCGCCCTGCTTTGTTCTTCGCTCTGCTTCTGGCTTTTAGTTAGTAACCTTTTTGCTTTGCTAACTTTCTCGCCATGGCCGTGCTTCTCCGCCGCACGTGGCCCCAAACGTGTCGCTTCTTCCAAACGAAATGCGGCCTTTTCCTCAAGGCGTGAGCACTCGTGGTCCAGTAAACGTGAGGCTGCCCACACACGTGGTTCGAGAAGGTCTCGTTGGTAAAAGAGCACGGAGCAACAATGGCGTCGAAGATAATGCGCGACGAGCACGCGGACGGAATCTCTATCGTCGCGTTCGGCCCGGAAGGGACTCTCGCGCACCGTCGATTATTCTTCGATGACGATTTTCAAATCGTTTCCCCTTGGCACGACGTACCGCACCGCGCCGCGGACGACGGATTTAATTTCCTCTGCCACACGTCGAAAGGCGCGTCCGCGATAGTCGAAGTCGCGAAAGACGAGGATTACAACCCTATTCGCCACGTGGCGCGAGACGGCGGCGCGGCGCGCTACACAGCCACTTCCACATGGAACCTCGGGATTGCGCCGCAGACGTGGCAGGAACCCAAGGACGAATGCGACGTGGGTAATGGCCGGCTGCTGCCATTCGCCGGCGGGCCCGTACGCGTTATAGAGATCGGCGGCGTGGTAGCGAAACCGGGGCAGCTGTACTCGGTGAGGCCGCTCGGCGCGTTCGCGACGATTCGCGAAGACGAAGGGACGGTTTCGTGGACGGTTATCGCGCTTTCGTCGAGCGACGCGTGGGAGCATCTGCTGAAGAATATGGCGGACCTGCAGCGGGAGAAGCCGGGCGAAATCGAACGACTGAAAAAGTGGCTTCTAACAGGTACTTAATCATATTTTACTTTTTTTTTATTCATGCAAAAACAGAAGTTTTTTTTGCCGTTTTTCGCCTGTTTTGTTTCGCCAAGTCTTCGCCACGCATGCAACACAGCGAGAATACTGCCGAATGTGTCGGCGGGTACTTTGACGACTTCGTTTCGCGCTCGTCCTGGTGTAATGTAATTGAGACATTTACGTTTTCGCTGTAACAGTCAACAAATAGCGAAAATGCACTCGAGTCTGTCTGCTGAGTCTGTCACAAAAGGGGTCAAGAGACACAAGTCGGGTGTCGCGTTTGTCACGCAAGTCGACTTAAGAGACACATTGAAGAAAGAGGAAAGAAAATAATGAGGAGGTCACACGCAGTCAAGGGGTAACAAACAATTAAGTGGAAGTAACTAACGTGTAACAAACAAGGTACGAGCCAATGCAAATACACGCATTACCTTCCCCTCTCTCCTTCCACTTCTACCGCCAAGACGGCTGTAACCACCCTATTCGCTGCTCACTCGCGCTTTCCCTCTGCTTCCCCCTCTTCCCCTCTTCCCACACCGGCTCCCCCGCTCCAACTACACCAGCTGATTCAGCCCATCCCACATCCCTAGGATTCAACGAGCAACCCTCAGTCTCATCAGCACTTACTCAAGCCTTCCTTCTGTCTTTCCCTCTCCCCTCCCCCCTCTGCCTGCACCAGCCGATTCAGCCCATCCCACATCCCTAGGCTTCAACGACCAACCCCAGCCTCGCAAAGCCGCCGTCGCCGCCCTATCCGCCGCCCACGCCGCGTGGAAAGCCAAACGCGACGTCCTGGCTCGGTTTCCGAACCTAGACCTCCCGTCCGGCGACGACGCCGAAGCTCCTCCCGAGCCTGAGGTGCTCCGGGAAATCTGGGAGCCTACTATTGAGTGGTATTTAGACGAGGCGGGGACTACTATGGAAGAGTGTATTAAAGCCGCACATGGGTTAGCTACTCATGGGGGAAGCACACATGGGGGGGGGATACCTCATTCGTCTTCTGGCCTGGGGGAAGGAATAGTGCATACAGTGGGGGGTATAGCGAGCTCTGTTGGGGAATTTCGCGGAAGCCTCGCTCATTCCATCAGCAAGGGGGTAAGCAGCAGCAGGAAGGGGCTAGTTGGCGGAATCACCCACACGGTAGGGGGTATTGCGGATATCGGCGGGGGAATCAGGGGGGGGATTAAGGGGGCAGTAGGGGGGATTGGGGGGGCGGTGGGGGGAATAGGGTCGCGCCTGGGGAAGAGCAGGAAGGGTATGGGTGGGATGGGTGGCATGGGTGGGATGGGTAAGGCAGGGAGACATGGAGAGGAAGAGGCAGAATGGGAGATCTCGGCTCCTGAAACCAGCAGCACCATCAACAGCAGCAGCAGCATCAGCAGTGGCGGTGGCGGTGGGGGTGGTGATGGTGGTGGTGGCGGCGGCGGTGGTGGTGGTGGTGGGGGTGGGGGTAGTGACAGCGAGAGCAGTAGCAGCAGCACCCCCAGCAGCGGTGCTACCAACGAGGATCGTCAACTAGTTAAGAACAGCGCTGCGTCTTTTTCAGGGTCTTCCTTTGCTAAGACCCACTCGGGAAAAATAGGAGGCTCTTTCGCTGCTATAGGAGGGGGTCTTTCTAAGATTGGTGGCGCTGCTAGTGGGTTAACTAACGCCGTTTCATCTGCTCGTGGGAAAGCCGTTTCATCTGTTGGGAGTACGGTTTCATCTGTGAGAGGAGCGGTGGGAGGAGCAGTGTCAACTGTGGGCGGAGCGGTGGGAGGGGCTGTTACAACTGTGGGTGGTAAGGTTGGTGGTGCAGTTACAACTGTTGGTGGGGCGGTGGGCGGCGCGGTGGGCGGGGCTGTTACAACTGTTGGTGGGAAAGTGGGTGGGGCGGTTACACGTGTGGAAGGTGCTGTGATGGGAGGTTCGGGAAGAGAACTAGGCTCGGTAGGGTCGGTAGGTTCGGCAGGGTCACTAAGCTCGGTGCAGGTGCATGGAGGCCGGAGGAACAAGCAGAGAGCGAGCCTCACCCTGACCAGAGGCGAGTCTGGTGGAGATGTAATGTCAGATGTAACTTCAGATGTAACGTCTGTAATCTCAGATGTAACGTCAGATGCAACGTCAGATGTAATGTCGGACGAGGGGGGGGGGGAAGGAGCGGGCGGGGAGGAGGTGAAGGAGGTAGTGCGGGAGGAAGCTTCCGAGAAGACGCTGCACGCACTCCCACGCACTCCCCCTCGCACGCCCCCGCCTCGGTTGACCATTCAGAGCAATTCGGGAGGTGGGTTCGGTGAGGAGGAGGAAGAGGAGGAAACGGAAGGAGAGGAGGGAGGAGAGGAGGAGAAGCGGGTGGTGGGAGAAGAAGGTGGGGAGGGTGGTCATCACCCCCCCACTCAGTATGAGAGCAACCAGCAGCCTGAGGGTGGTGAGGGTAACCACCAGCAATACAACAACAATCACCACGACAACCAGGAGCATAATAACGATCATCACCACCACCATCGGCACCACCACGGCTTGCACCTGCCGCACTTCTTTCCCCGCAGCCCCAAGTGCAGCCCGAAAGGAACCGCATCAGCAGCTGCAGCAGCGGCGGCTGGGGAAACAGGAGCAGCAGCAGGAGCAGCAGCAGGGCCCTCACACCAGTTGACAGCACCACCTTCTTTCTCCTCCCAGCCTCCTCTGTCCCAATCTTCAGGGTCGGGCGCCGAACCTTCCCCCCGAATCTGCATTCCGGTCTGCCGGTCCGCCGACGAGCCTCCCGCCAAGGCTCGGACTCCCCGAGCCAGGCTGCTTGGTCTGGCGCCTCTAAGCCCCCTGAGGGGGGGGATAGGCGGCCGGAGAGGAGGAGGAGAGAGAGAAGGAGGGGGAGTGGGAGGAGAAGGGGGAGGCGAAGGAGGGATGAGTTCCGGTTGGGGAGGTGCGGAGGTGAGTGAGGGGTTAATCAGTCCCAGGTATGGCAGCCAGGTTCCCAGCCATGCGGGGAGAAGAAGCCCCGGTCACGGGGGAAAGAACCCTAGAAATCTCATAGCTAGTGCGTGGAGCAAGCTGAAAAGCCCGAGGGGAAGAGATAAAGGAGGGGATAAGGGAAGTCATCAGTTTATGTCCGAGGTGGCTTTAAACAGCCCGAAGGAAGGGGATAAGGGAGGGGATAAGGAAGATAAAGGCGACAACGGGGAGAAGCGAGGGAATAAGGAAGGTACAGGGGATACGGGAGGGTTTAAGAGCGGTACAGAGTTTCGGAGCATGCAAGGCGAGCAGCAGCAGCACTCTAGCTGGAGTGAACGCAGCAGTACCGCCCCTTTCAGCCCCACTGCTGCTAGCGCCAGTCCCAGAAGCCCCTCTAGAAGCATCTTCGCTAAGAGCCCTAGAAGCTCCTCTGGGAGCATCTTTGCTAAAAGCCCCAACGCGAAAAGCCCCGTTAAAAGCATCTTCGCTAAAAGCCCGAACGCCAGAAGCCCCGTGGAAAGCATGTTCGTTAGAAGCTCGTCTAACCCGCATGCTAAAAGCCCCACGCTTCATAGCCCCACCGGAAAAAGCCCCTCTAGAAGCATCTTCGCTACAAGCAAACTCGCTAAGAGCCCTCGGCCGGTCAGCCCGCTGTGTGAACACCCGTTGCCTAAGAGTTTCAGCAGGAGCCAGAAACGAGTGACCTCTAGCAGTCCTGAAAGGGATGGGGCAGGAGAAAGAGAAGGGCCAGAGGGGGGAACAGGAGGTGGGGTAGATGGGATGGCAAGCGCTGATGGGGAGTTGAGAAAGGAAGGGGAGTTGAGTGCTGGTGGGGTGACTGCTGATGCTGGTGCTGCTGCTGTCGGTGCTGCCGGTGCTGCGGCTGCAGCTGTGGCTGTTGCTGGGGATAAGATGGAGGAAGGGGGGAGCAGGGAAGGGGTGATGATGGGGATGAAGTCACACACGCAAGAAGCTGAGATGGCGGTATCAGAGCGGCGGCAGGATGGGTATTTGGAACAGAAGCAGACGGAGGAAGAGCAGCAGGAGCAGGAGCAGAAGGAGAAGGAGGAGGAGCAGCAACGGAAGCAGGAGCAGCAGGAGCAGCAGCGGAAGCAGGAGGAGGAGCAGCAGCAGCAGGTGGAAATTGAGAAACCGAGGCCACCAAGGGTGAGGAAAAAACATATGGGCGAGGTGTTGGCAGAGCAACAGCTACTGCAGCAGCAGCAGGAGCAGCAGGAACGTTTGCAAGAGCAAGATAGGCAGCAGAAGCAACAGGAGCAGCAGGGGCAGGGACAGGAGCAAGGTCAGCAGGGGCAGCAGGGGCAGCAGGGGCAGCAGGGGCAGGAGCATGAGACACCGCAGATCATATTGAGTGCGGATGTAGGAAGAGAGGGAGGGGCGAAACACGGGGAAGAGAGGGAACAGGAGAGGCAGAGGGAAGCAGCAGCAGCAGCCGCAGGAGCAGAGGGAGCAGCAGAGGGAGCAGCAGGGGGAGCAGGAGAAATGAGGCCGAGGAAATCGGCACTGAAGCGAGTTGTGAGTGTAAAGCACAAGCCGGAGGGAGAGCCCAAAGTAGTAAAAGTGGTGGTTTTCGATGATGATTTCCTTGCACGCATGGGAGAGGAAGGGGGAGAGGGAGGGGGAGTGGGAGGGGGAGTGGGAGGGGGAGTGGGGGAAGGAGAATCAGGAAAGGAAGGGTCAGCAGAGGAACTTGCTAAAGTGGTGAAGGTGGCGGATTTTGAAGAGGAGGGAGAAGGGGAAGGGGAAGGAGGGGGACGACGGGGAGAGGTTGGTGGTTCGGAGAAGGAGAGGGGAAAAGGAGAGGGTGGCTCAGAGTTGCCTAAAGTGGTAAAGGTGGTGGAATTTAATGAGGGGAAAGGGGAGGGAGGGGGAGCCGGCGAGAATGATGTGGGGGGGGGCTTAACTGGGGGAGGTTTGGCTAGGGGAGGTTCGACTGGCATTGGCAGTGGTGCTGGTACTGCTGCTCCTGCCCCCGGTTGGTTTGGCTGGGGTTGGCAGCAGCAGCAGCAGCAGCAGCAGCAGCAGCAGCAGCAGCAGCAGCAGCAGCAGCAGCAGCAGGAGGAGCAAAAACAGCAGCAGGAGCAGGAGCAAAAGCAAAAGCAACAGCAACAACTACAGCAGCAGCAGACGGCAACAGAGGTTCCAGTCATAAGCAGCTGGTTTGGTTGGGGTAGCAACAGTGGCAACAGCAGCAACACCACCACCACTGCCGCTGCCAACGCTGCTACCAGCAGCAGCACCAACAGCACCCCCACCACCACCACCACAACCACTGCCACTACGGCTACCACCACCAAACCACACAAACCCTCCTCAGGTTCAGGAGGGGCTAGTATCCCACGTTTTACGCCATTATTACGGGTAGAATCGTTTCAGGATAGGGCTAAGAGGCAGAGGGAACTCTTTTTGCAGAAGTTGAAGAAGAAGGAGGAAAGTGCGGGGAAGGTGCTGGAAGGGGATGGTTTGGCGGGAGGAGGGGGTGTGGTAGCAGGTGGAAAGGGAGAGGGGGTGAAGGAGGAGGAGAAACGGGAGGAGAAGGAGAAAAAGGAGGAGGAAAAGGAGGAGAAAGAGAAGGAGGAGAAGGTAGTGAGGATTCCAGGTTCAGTGGCAGCAGCAGGAGGAGAGGGAGAGGGAAAGGAGAAGGAAGCCGCAAGAGCAGGAGGGGAGGGAGCAGAAGGGAGAGGAGGGGAAGGGGAGAGAAGAGTGGGAGGAGGAGCAGGAGGAGGAGGAGCAGCAGCAGCAGCAGCAGAGGCCGAGGAAGGAGCAAGAGAGGGTGGAGAGGAGAAAGAACCGCTATCAGAGGAGGAAAAAGAGAGGATTGAGAGGGAGAGGATCGAGAAGGAGTTGGAAAGGGAGAGGATTGAGAGGGCTAAGAAGCAAAGGGAGCGATTCATGAAAGCCCTGGCGAATAAGAAGGCAGGAGGGGGGAAAGGTGGCAAGGCAGTAGCGGCAGGGAAAGGGGTGGCAGCACAGGGGGGATTCGCGGCACAGGGGGGGTTTGCCGCTGTAGCAGCCGCAGCAGCAGCAGCAGCAGCGGAAGCAGCGTCTGCTGCAGTGGCAGGGATTGCAGGAGAGGGGGTAGGCAGGAAGGGAGAGAAGCAGGCAGAGGGAGGGGTGGTGGGAGGGGCGAGGGGCGAGGGGCAGCAGAAGGGGCATCAGCAGGGGCAGCAGGGGCAGCCGGAAGGGAAGAGGAGTGATGGAGGGGAGGATGACAAGGGAGGGGAGGAGGAGGGAGAGGTGCAGGAGGAGGGGCGGGAGCAGCGGTTTGCATCCGCGGTTGATAGGCTATCGGAGCAAGGCAACAGGTTCCTTCGTATGCTCGGCCGAACAGGGGGGGTGGGAGCGGGGCTGGGAGTGGGAGCGGGAGGAGCAGGAGGGGTCGGAGGAGAGAAAGCAGCTGCAGGAAGGGCAGCGGGGGGAGCTTCGTTAGAGGGTATGAGAGGGTTCAGGAGTGACATTGGCATTCCAGGTTCCTCTGCTGCTGCTGCAGCGGCAGAAGCAGCAGCAGCAACATCAGCTCCTGCTGCTGCTACTGGTGCTGATGGCTCTAGTGCTGGTGCTAACAGCACTTCTGGTCGCACAGACGGTGCTAGAGCTGGTGCCAGTCCAAGCAAAGCCGCCCCTTCCCTTGCTTCAAACCTGCTCCTCAAGCGGTTACCACCGCGACAACGTAACCGCAGCCTAGACCTCAGCTTCAGCTCCCTCCCTCAACCAGGCACCAGCACAGACGGTACTGCTGCTGCTGGTGCTGCTTTAACGCAATCAAATACCATCAGCGGCGGCGGTGGTATTGGCGACTTGTCATTTGGAGCAGGGTCGGACTCTGCTGGCTCTTTCGTCACCATCTCTCTTTCCGGAAGCTCCAAGCGCGATTCCTTTGCTCGAGATTCTTTCTCGCGAGATTCCCTTTCTCGTGACTCCCTGTCTAGGGATGCACCCGGGTCCTCCTCACGAGAATTCGGCGGTTTCTTTTCCGGGCCTGCCTCCGGGCCTGCCTCCGGGCCGTTTCGCTCAAGCAGGCGCCGTTCTCTCAGTCGAGAGGATTTCTCCCCGGATCTAGCCGGTTCCCCAACCCTCTCCCCCCAACGATACGCATCTCCTGTTCACGAGCGCTTGACAGCAGCCGGGATTCTCAGCAACACTCCCCGAGGCTCTGGAGCTGGTTCGGCCGGTGGCGCTGGTGCCCGCTTCGGCAGGTTCGGCGAAGGCTCGAGCTCGCCGAGCCTCACGCCCAGGTCCGGGAGGCCCCAGAGCCCCTTGACCGGACGAAGCAGCGTGGTAGCTGCGGCGTTGGGAGCAGCAGCAGGGGTGAAAAGCGGAAAGCGGGGGTTTTCTGGTTTCGCACCGTCCCCTTCCTTCTCTCCGTCGTATTCCTCCCCTCCTCCTCCTCCTCCTCCGGCCACTCGTTCTTCTGTGTCTTTTGGGTCTTCGGGCATGATTGCAGCGGCAGCAGCAGCAGCAATGGCAGAGGCAGTGACTGGGGCAGGGCCGGGTGCAAAAGCAGGAGCAGGAGGAGGAGCAACAGCAGGAGGAGGAGCAACGTCAGGAGGAGGAGCAACGTCAGGAGGAGGAGTAGGGGTAGGAGCAGGAGTAGGAGCATGGGGGAGAGGAGGACATGGGAATGCAAAGAAGAAGTTTCACGTGCCTTTGTTTCGAGAGGACAGCGTAGCATGGCCGGAGGAGAAGAGGATTGGGCTCGTGGCTAAGGCTCTTGCTGCTGCTGGCGCCTCTCCTGCTGCTGCTGCTGCTGCTGCTCCTGCTGCGAATACGGAGGAGGAGGGTGGTGCAATGAGGAGTAAGGAGGAAAGCGAGGTGGATACCAATGCGGATACTGAGGAGCATACTAAGGAGTACACTGAGGAGGATAGTATGGTGGATAATACGGAGGATTCTATGGAGGTTATTAAAGAGGATATTGATGACCATGCTAAGGAGCATAGTGAGCAGTATACTAAGGAGGATGATAAGGAAGGTAGTTTGGAGCATGGTATGGAGGATATTAAGGAGGATATTGTGGACCGTGCTAAGGATACTAATGAGCCTACTACGCATGATAGTGAGGAGGATAGAAAGGAGGATACTATAGAGGGTATTGTGGAGAGTACTAAGAAAGATACTCAGGACACTGTCAAGGTGGATTTTGAAGCCGACTCTAAGGAGTATATGAAGGAGGATATTGCGGAGGGTAGGGAGGGTGAGGGCAGGGGGACAGAGGAGGATCAGAAGGAGAAGGAAAAGGAGGAGAAGGAGAGGGAAAAGGAGGAGGAGAGGGAAAAGGAGAGGGAAAAGGGGAAGGAGAGAAAGGAGAAAGAGAAGGAGAAGGAGAGGTCTGGGAAGGCGAGGAAGAGCCGAAGTGGGGACAAGGGCAGTGCAGGGGCAGCAGAGGTGCCGGAAACACCAAGGGGGGGTGAATGCAACGAGGGTGATACAGCTGGTGGCGTTGATGCGGGTGATGTGGCTGGTGGCGTTGATGAGGGCGGGGACAGCCTGTCTTTGCTGCGGGCCAAGACGGTGGGTGATGGGGGTGATGGGGGTGATGGGGGTGATGAGGGCAATGACAATCTGTCTTTTCTGCGGGCGAGGACAATGTCTTCGGTGGAAACACAGGGGGAGAAGGAGAAGAAGCACCGCGAGAAGAAGAAGGAGAAGGGGTCTTCAAAGCACCGCAAATCGCCGTCGGTTTCGGAGCTTGCTTTGAACAGCGGCAGCGGTGGTGGGAGCAAGGAAGGCAGGGAAGACAGGGAAGGCAGGGAGGGCAAGGAGGGTGTTGGCAGTGGAAGATTTAGGAGTGTTGGGAGTCCTGCTAGCAGCACCACGAGCAGCCATGGGCATAGTAGCGTGAGTGGTGATATGGATCCTGCAGCTGCTGCAGCGGCGAAGGAGGCAAGGAGGGCTGCGAGGAAGCAGAAGAAGGCTGAACAGGCTGCTGCTGAGTCGGCAGCTGCTGCTGAGGCTGCTGCTGCTGGTGCTGGTGTTGGTGGTGCTGCAGCTGCTTGTGCTGCTGCTGGTGCTGTTGGTGCAGGAGAGGCAGGGGCAGCAGCAGGTGTGGAGGAGGGGCTTGAGAAGAGAAGGAAGGAGAAGGAGAGGAGTGGTGAGGAGAAGGAAGTGAAGGGGAAGGATGAAAAGGAGAAGGAAGGGAAGGGGAAGGACGAAAGGGAGAAGGAGAGAAAAAAGAAGGAGAAGAAGGAAAAGGAAGGAGAGGAAAAGGAAGGAAAGGAGAAGAAGAAAAGGGAGAAGGAAGGAAAGGAAGGAAAGGAGAAGGAAAGGAAGGAAGGAAGGGAAGGAAAGGAGAAAGAGGGAGTGGAGAGGAGTAAGTCTAAGAAAATATCGAGCATCACGAGTTTGGATGAGACAATCCCGAAAGCTTTTGAAGGTGCACCTGGGGAAGGCTTATCTGGTGCAGGTGATGATGACTCTGTATCTGACGTGTCGAGTATGGGGGGAGGGAAGAGGAGCAAGGAGGAGAGGGAGGCGAGGCGGGAGGAGAGGAGGAGGAAGAAGGAGAAGGAAAGGGAGAAGGAAAGGGAGAAGGAAAGGGAGTAGGAAAAGGGTCATAGGTCTAAGGAAATGTCGAGTGAACCAATCGCTGGGGAAGGTGATGGTGGTGGGAGTGTTTAACTGAAGAGTTTCCCTTGGAGCTTTGTTCCCAAATCTGCTTAGGATGTAGCTGAATAGGCAGTGCCTGCTGCAACAAACGCTTGTGGTGGTGCTGCCACAACTACTGCGGCTGCAGCTGCTGCTGGTACTGAATACTGATGCTAACAGCTGCTGCAGCAGCAGCTGCTCGAGTTGTTGATTCTCACCTTGATGATCACATGAACTCGTAGCACAGTTTGAGTGAGAGCTAATTAGACCTTTTTCGAGAGCTCATTATAGGTATTCGGGGGTGGTGAAGGGCAACATGGGGATTCGTGAGGGGGCTTAATGCAGTGAGTCTGCATGTGACGACCCAGGAGACAGCCAATTAGCCTTGTCCTCTTTGGCCGAAGAGGTGTTTTCTCCTTTTATTTCTTCCGTGGCTGGTTATGCTGTGCCGGATATGTTATTAGATCTGCATGAGCTTTAACTGCTAAATTCTGTGCTTGATTCATTGTAGATGGTGTTCATATACCGAACTTGGTGAAGGCACTGTACTGTTGTTTTGGAAAACCTTCGGTGGGTGACAGGGTGCTGGTCAGATGCTGCCTGTCTGCCAGGCGCGTAAGAAAAGTTCCCGCCACCCGAGCCTTGAATCTCAGCTTTGGCATGTGCCTGCTTGGGTGCTGTGCTTACCCGAACCAGAGTCCTCCCTCATCGCCTGGCCAGAAAGCAAGCTGGTAGTGTGTAACTGCCGAACCTCTGCATGTGCCAAACAAGGCTGTCGCTTGCAGGGCGTTTGCCCTGCTGGACCTTGAATTCCAGGGCTGGGTTGCCCTTGAAAGCTGAAATTGTTGGGTTGGAAATATTCTGGCCCTGATTCTTTACAGGGCTGATTTCGGGCTTAGGCCTGGTGTCTAAAGGGTAGATTTTAGGCGAGCCCTGGATCTTGTTGCGTGGTTGGGCCACAAATTCAACTCAACCTAGAACTTGTGCTTGAGCCAATCACAGCTCGCTCTCTGTGGAGTGGGTTGGTTAAGGTTGGGTAGAAGTGCACAAGAACTATCCTGTGGAGTGGGTAGAAGAGCACAAGATCATCAGTCCTGCAAAGGCTAGGAAGCCTGCAAAGCGTGCGTAGTGATATGACGCTAACTAATTCTCTTTATGTCGTGTTTGCTTGTTGTGGTTTATCTCAGACGTATTTGTTAGCTTGGTAGTTGAAATGAGGCTCCAGAATTTTCCGCGCCAAACCTGATTCAAGGGAGGAAATTTTTCCAGCCCTGAAGCCTAAAGGGCCGACCAAAATCAAGCCTCATGCCATGGTTCAGTTTTGAGCTGTCATGCCTGAAACCTTTGGCCGCCTTGCGGTCCGCCCGAACGTAGTTAGCCACCGAGCCTGATACCCTTGGGGCCTTCTCAAAGTCAGGCGAACTCAGGTCAGCGAAAGAGGTCAGGCACAAGGGTGCGTGTGTCGCCGTAATTTAGTCGCACGCGCTCACTTGCGTCGCTTCTTCAACTTGGAGCGTCGTCTAGTCGTCGTAGTCAGCGTCGCACGTCGGATGACGACTGTTACCCATCATGACCATCCAATCATCCCAAACTGAAACCAACTTCCAGGTTTCGTTCAGCTCGGCGGCGGCAACCTCAAGGTTCCCAATTGACCAATCACCGACCCACCATCTGCAGGCAACACAGCTGCAGACAAGAACAAAGCCCAAGGCATCATCTTCTTTTGGTGAGCCATAAAGCTTCCAACGTCTCTGCATTGTACCAAACCTATTTGGAACCATTGATACCAGACTTCAACCCGATTTGGCCAAAAGAAAATAGTATCTGTAACAGTTCCATCCATGTCTCTTCTTGAGCCATCCAGGGTAACTCCAGGGTTCATCCAGACATCCATAGCTTCCACATCCCCCATAGCCCTCCATTCATCCGCAGTCAGGCGGACAGAGGAGCATTGGACCAAGCTAACCAACCAGCATTTCTGGTATGTGGTGGATGGAGCTAGCAGCAAGGTAAGCAGCATTCGTTTTCCTGGACCAGGACCATTCTCCCTTATTGTCCATAGTAAAAGCCGTCCCCTTTTTCATATGTTTTTTCTTTTCTTTTTCACATGTTTTTTTTTTTTTCTCCGTCAGGGAGCATTCATAGCCTGTGCGCGTAAGAACCACAACCCTTGTGTCAGAGACCAATCCTAGCCGTGTATGCCACGGCGCAGCGCATCGCGGCGGGTGAGCTGCGTGGAATGACGACGGGGGGCTTCTCTACCTGCAGCAGCTCGATCTCCTTTCGCAGCAGCAGCAGCGGCCACTCGTTGCTGCTCTGCCGCCAATCGCGGCGCTCCGTCTCGTCGTCTCCGTCCCGCCTTAGCGCGCCCGCGGGAGCGCGGCATCCGTCGAAATGGCGGAAACTGCTGTAAATGATCGGCCTGCTGCTGCTGCTGCTTCCGCGCCTGGTGCGACCGGGGCAGGAGCAGCGCAGGCAGCACCTCAGGGTGAGTATTTGCGAAATCTGTTAACTTCTACCAGTTCTTCAGAATTTACCGTTCCATTTCAGTGATGTTTTTAAGGCTTCGGATGGTTACCATTTTCCACATACAGTCAGGACTCAGGAGGTTGCAGCCGGATTATTTGCTCAAATTTTCCGAATGAATCGATGTCGAAAGGTCTCATCTTGTTGTGTCCAGTGCGGCCTCGTCACGCTCGCATTTTTTCGGGAGATGCGTCTTTTTCTGGTTTCCATTATCCATCCTGTCTCGCGCCTCGCAAATCATGGAGGCGTTTTAATTATTGATGCGCTTGAAATATGACCTTATCAAGCTCGCATTGTTTCCAGGGAGGCGTTTGTCTGTTTCTATGATCCAGGTTTTATCGCCTAGTTTGCCCGTCGCCGCATGCAATGCCCTGCTGAAGACACTGCTGTCCTCCGTTACTGATTACGTTACCGTGCAAGCGAACCAGATTAGCCAATCTCTTGGTTTCGATGTTACTGGTTACATCTCCCAAGAAACATAATTTCCCTTATCCCTATTTCCTGTTCCGCGTCTCCTTTTCAGATGACCAATCGCAAGGCGGCTCCTTAAAGCCGTGCTTTCTCTCGAAGCTTCAGCAGAGCACGCCGAACTCACCGTCTCTCTCCTCCCCCACAACGCTCCCTGCCCTCGAGTCGCATGCCCCTCCCTTCTCACCAACCCCATCCTCCTCCTCCCCGCAAGTCCTCTCGTCGTCCCTCTCTTCCTCCGGCTCTTCCCCCCTCACGACCTCCTCCCGCGACTCTTTCTCCGCCACCCCCGGCAACTCCGCGCAGCTCGCCTCGTTCCGCGGCCGCTCCCCCTCCCCCACGCCCCCGGACCCCTCGCGCATCTGCCTCAACCCCAACGCTGCGGCGTTCGTTCCGTGCTTTTCCGGCGCAGGCGGAAATGGCGGGAGCGACGGAAACGGCGGAACCGGCGCGGGCCCTGAAGGGGGTAGCGGAAGCGGGGAAGACGGCGGCGGCGGAGAAGCGGGAGTGGATGGTGTCTCCGCGGGAGGGAACATGTATGCGCAGGGGAAGGCGCACGGGGAGGGTTCCGCCGGTTCCGCCAGTCGTGGATTGACTGTAGAAGAAGCCAACTACGAAGGTTCCTCATTAGATAGAATTCCATCTAACACCTCGGTTTCATCTGACGACGAGTATCGTCGTTACGTTAGGGATCAGCTTCCAGACGAGCTTATTAGCTTCGACGAGCAGGACACTCCGAACCTCAACGGCAGCCTTCTCCCGCCGGACCTAGACGGGCTAGGCTCGGCAGAATCCGAACATGGAGGCGGCAGGTCCGGGCCTGGGGGTGGACCTCGACCCGGCGCCGAGCGCGGGGCGCCGGGGGAGTTTATGGTTCATAGTAAAGTGGGCTTGCGGGGAAGCGGGGAGGGGCGAGGCTGGAATCTGGACGCGCGGAGTTACTTGGCGGAGCTTCCCCCCGACCATCCCTTGCACCACACCTCCCCGCATCAGCACCATCTCCCCCCGCACCTGCGCCAAGGCCCCGGTAGCGCTTCCGCCAGCCCCATGTCCCACGCACGGCATTCCCTTGGCGGGCCTCCCGCTTTCCCCGAGCACGAGTTTGGGGCCGGCTCCCCCGCGTCGTTTCTGCGGAACCCTCCGCCGTCCAGCCCCGCCGCGGCTGCGCTTCTTGCGCGACTGGACCTTGGTGGGGGCGGGGGTGGCGGAGCAGGCGGAGGACCGCTTCCACCCACTGCGCAACAGCTTGCGGAGCTGCTAGTCGGTCCTCCGCCTGGCCTTGGGGGCCTTCCCGCTGGCGCAGGGTACCCTTTTGATAACTACCCTCCCCCGCATTTTGAGCACTTTGGGGGAGGCAACCACCCGCGCCCGCCCAACTCCCTCCCCGCTTTTCCCGCCCCCGCTGGTGCGCACCGCTTCAGTCCCGCTCTCCGCGGCAGCCCGCTCCATTTCTCCCCCGCCCGCCACGGCCCGCCGCCTCCGCCGCATCACATGCTTCCGCCGTCACAGCTGCTGGGCGGAAGAGGCGGAGCAGGGGAAGGAGGGCGGGGGCTTCCGCCGGGGATTACGGAGTCGTCAAGGCGCGGGCAATTTGGACCGCCGTTAGATGGACCAGGGAGAATGGACGGCAGGATGGACGGCAGGATGGATAGCCGGATGGACGGCAGGATGGAAGGGAGGGTGGACGGTCGGATGGATGGCCGGATGGACGGCCGGATGGACGGCAGGATGGACAACAGGATGGACGGCCGGATGGACGGCAGGATGGACAACAGGATGGACGGCCGGATGGACGGCAGGATGGACAACAGGATGGACGGCAGGATGGACGGCAGGATGGACGGCAGGGGAGATGGTCCAACCATGGGCCCCCCTGGTAGCCCTATGCCCGGGCCCGGGGGACCTCCTCCCCCTAACGCGCTTTACCAAGGCCCCGCGGGAAGAGGCGGGCGCGGAGGCGGACCATTAGGCCCCGGAGGGATGGGCGGTCTTGGCGGGCCTGGCGGAAGATTTGCGCCTGGTCCGCCGTTCAGCCCGGAAGTAGGCCCGCGCCTGGGCTCCCCGCCGCCCCCCCACATGAACCCCACCAGGGGCGCGGGGGGCGGAGGCGGAGCTGGGAATATGGGTCCCCCAGGTCCCCCTAACAGCTTTTCCCCTTCTAGATCCCCGCACCCGCGATACTCCAGGCCGGGTCCGAGGCGGGGAGCGGGAGAAGAGCCGCCGTCGCCACTTAATCAAGGTATAGGCAGTCTAGACCACCGTAGTACGATGGGCGTGGGCAGGGGGGGAGGGCATTTGCGCCACCCGCAGCAAAACCGGCGGAACAGCTTCGATCAGCGCAGCCCCATGCACCCGCTGCGGGACCCGCACCAGCAGGGGAGGAGAGCGGGGCCGGGGGGAAGAGGGGGAGGCGGCGGGGGAGGAGGAGGGGGACCAGGCGGAGGAGGAGGCGGAGGGGGAGGAAACGGGGAGGGCGGCGGCGGAGGCATGCCCCCGGGAGCGGGAGACAACGGCGGGCACTTTCCGCCGCCGTTTGAGCTTCCCCCGGGGCCGGCGGCGCGGATGCTGGATAGAAGGTTCCGCGGACCTTCCGCGGGGTGGAACCCTGGTCCTCTTGACGAGCTAGAGGAGGGTCCCCCTGGCGCGGGGGGCCCAGGCGCGGAGTACAACGCGTATGGGGGGTTTCCGCTTCATGATCCCCCTCCCCCGCCGCCTCCCCATGGCCTCCCCCCGCACGAGCTGGGGGGGTTCTACTTAGACGAGGGGATGCCCCCGCCCCCGCCCCCCCATCATCTCCCCCCGCACCATGCGCGCGCGCATCCCCCAGGGCCTCCGCACGGGCACGCGCCTTCCCCCGGGGGGCACCTGCGCGGAGGGGGTCCGCCGCCGCACCACGGGATGGACGATCCAATTCTGGTGCTGGCGGCGGAATTTCCGGATTTCTCGATGCAGAGCTTGGCGGACGCGTTTTTCGCGCATGGGGCGGACCTAGGCGCGACCATTGAGGCGCTGTGGCAGCTGCAGGTGCGCGGAAGGCGGTTGGGCACGGGGGAAATCGGGGGCCAGGGTAGGTGGTGTGTGGGGAATGGGGGAATGAAGGACTGAAGGGTAAACTGGAATGCCTGGGCCAACGCTTTCGACTAACCTGTGTTTCCTGCTTCCTTGCCTCCTTCCCTCTCTGCCTCCTTCCCGCCTTGCCTCCCTTGCCCCCACTGCACAGCAATACCAAGAGGACGGGGACCCCTCACTACACTCCGGCCCTCCGCGCTCGTCCCAACGCTCCCCCCCTCTCGGCTCCCTTTCGAACTTCGCCTCGCCTCCCCCTCCCCATCACTACTCCTCTGCTGCTGCTGCCGCCGCCGCCGCCGCTGGTAGGGCGGTTGCTGCTGCTCATTCCGCCTCCTCCTCCCACCCTCACCGTTTCAGCGCCCACATAGGGAATTCCCCTGGGGGTCCTGGGGGAATAGGTGATTCTGCTGCTTCGGATGGAGGTCCGGACGGTGGTCTGGACCCGAGCCTCCTCTCCCGCTCCATGCCGAACCTGAAACCGTTTGTCTCGGCCGGGCCTGGAGCTCCGGGGCTGGATGAAATGCAGTGGTGGGTTCGGCAGCAGCAGGGGGAGCAGGGGGGGGAGAAGCAGGGGTTTCAAGGCAACAGCGACGCATATGCGAGCTTGTATGGTGCTGGTGGTGCTGGTGGTGTGGGTTCAGTGTGGGATATGAGTCCGTGCAAGCCAGGGGGTTTTGAGGGAAGGCGAGGGGAATTTGAGGAGAAGCAGCAGCAGCAGCAGAATTTGCTTCGTGGGGAGGAGATGTTTCAGTTTGAAAGGACGGGTGAGTTGGGGATTGAGGCCGCATGAATCCGAGTTGCAACCTTAGTTTCGTTTGTATCATGCCGAGTTGCAACCTTAGTTTCGTTTGTATCATGCCGAGTTTGCATTCCTCGTTCTAACATGCCGAGTTTGCATTCCTCGTTCTAACATGCCGAGTTTGCATTCCTCGTTCTAACATGCCGAGGTTTTGTTCCTCGTTCTAACATGCCGAGTTTGCATTCCTCGTTCTAACATGCTGAGTTTGCATTCCTCGTTCTAACATGCCGAGGTTTTGTTCCTCGTTGTAACATGCCGAGTAGCGATGGCTTGCAGTGATGTTTCTCTGCTCGAGTGCCCACCAAAACATTCCTCCTGGTGGCCTTTCTCTGGGTGTATGGCATGCTATGGGTGCTTGGTTGCATGGCAGGTCTAGACATGGTGGGTTCGAAAGAGGGTCAACATCCCCTCTCCCATACTCTCCCTGCCCGCACAGCCTCCCAGCCCTGCAACAAGGTAGATACATGATTGGTATGGGTGCATGGGCGCATGGGTGCATGGGCGCATGGGCGCATCGGTGCGTGGGCGCATGGGCGCATAGCATGGGCGCATGGGTGCATGAGTATGGGTGCATGTGCGCATGGGCGCATGGGTGCAAGGGTGCATGGGTGCATGGGCGCATGGGCGCATGGCATGGGTGCACGGGTGCATGGGTGCGTGCATGGGTGCACAGGTGCATGGGGGCATGGCATGGGCGCATGGGTGAGAGTGAATTGCCAGTGAAGGCCCCCTGCCTGGTCCATTCCGTATCCCTTTCCCATTCCTTCCTTTTCCCATTCCCTTTCCTTCCCTTTCCCATTCCCTCTTGCTCTCACCTCTTTCTTTGACCCTGCCTGGTTCATTCCCATTCCCATTCCTTCCCTTTCTCATTCCGTATATCCGTGCTCCACCAGTGGGCCCCTGACGCCAACACCAACCCCGATCCACCGTCAGGCTTCAACCCCCGGAGGAGCCTTGATGGCAAGGCCCTCGCATACAGCATCAGCTTTCCTTATCCATTTTCCAATCCCTTTCCCGCCTCTCACTCCTGCCTGCGTTTCCCTGCTCCACCAGTGGGCTCCTGATGCCAACACCAACCCCGATCCACCGTCAAGCTTCAACCCCAGGAGGAGCATTGACGTTGACGCGCTCGCATATGGCATCAGGTGCGTGCTCTTTTGAAAGGAAGGCTGTCTTGAAAGGGGGGCTGTCTTGAAAGGGGGCATGCTTGCACGGATGGCATCAGGTGTGTTCTTCCTTGAAAAGAGGCCCTGTAAGCTGAACCATGGATTTCATATGGCCCTATTTGTAGCACCTTTTACCCCCCCACCTCACCTCCCCTCCCCGTTTCTGTTTTGCTTCCAGCTCCTCTCCTGTCCTTCGCTGTAAGTGCGCACTTCATGTCTTTCGGTGCCTTATGTTTTGTTTAACGCCTTGTTTCCTTAGTGTGTGTCCTGTTTTGTTTCTTCCTGGGTTTCTCGCTTGTTTTCCCTGTTGCTCATTGCAGGGAACTGCCCTCCGGCTCGCTCTCGTCTGGGACTGCCGAAACTGGCAGCTTTGGCAGCAGCAGCTTCGGCACGATCAGCATTGGCGAGTTCAACAGCAGCCGCAGCAACAGCAGCATCAGCAACGGGTTCAGCAACAGCAGCGTGAGCATGAGCAGTGCAAGCATCAACGGCGGGGGCAACAGCACCGCTGATGGCAACACAAATCACGGCGGCAGCAACGGCGGCAGCGGTGGTATCGGCAGCGGAATGGGCAGCAACAGCAGCAGTGCTGCCCGCATGCTGACATTTGACACCCCAGACGCGTCTCTAGCCCAAGGGGGCCGTCTTTCTGCCTCTCCTGCTCCTGCTCCTGCTCCTGCTCCTGCTCCTGCTCCTGCTCCTCCCGGTGCTCCTCCTCCTGCTCCTGCTTCCCCCGCTCCTCCGTCTGCCCCTCCCCCTCAGCCCGGCATGCAAAACGACCCGGCGCGGGTGTTGGAGCTGAGGGGCATGCACGTGTCCAACGCCGTGTGCCTGCTGCAGCAGGAGGTGGCTGCCCTGCGGTTTGCTGCTCAACGTACGAAGTCAAGGCAGCAGGTAAGAGTGCACTGTACATGTGTTGCCAGCTGCAGCAGGTATAGGGTCACTCACGTGTTGGAGCTGAGGGGCATGCCCGTGTCCAACGCCGTGTGCCTGCTGCAGCAGGAGGTGGCCGCTCTGCGGTTTGCCGCTCTGCGGTGTGCCGCTCAGCGCACCAAGTCCTGCCAGCAGGTACTTGGTGTGTGTGTGTGCATCAACGCAATCTCTATTATCTCATCAATGCATATACCTTGCGCTGCTGCACCCTCTCCTCCTCCCCCGTCTCCATCCCTCGCATCTAGCCACCCCTGCCAGCTCTATGTGCGTGTGCGATCAGGTCTCTACACCAGCGACAAGGCGATTTAACACCACCCAGCAGCAGTGGAGCAGTATCATACGGAACAGCTCCATACCTCCCCCATCTTTCCTGCCTTGTGCTGCCTTTTCTTTCCCCCGTCCAGCGCTACGTGCGTGTGGGGTCAGGGCTCTACACCAGCGATCGCGCCCTGCAGCACATGCCAGCAGTGGTGGAGCAGTATCTGTGGATTTCCATTCCATGTATCCCCATGCATCTCCCCTGAGATTTTACTGCCCATTCCCCTCCCTTGCCACCTTTCCTGCCTCGCCTTGTGCCAGCTCTACGTGCGAGTGGGATCGGGTCTCTACACCAGTGATCGCGCCCTGCAGCACATGCCAGCCAGCAGTGGTGGAGCAGAGCGGTGGAATACCATTTCCATACCTTCCTGTCTTCCCCCCTTGTGCTGCCTCCCGCGTCCCTGTCAGCTCTACGTGCGTGTGGGGTCGGGCCTTTACACCAGTGACCGTGCGCTGCAGCACATGCCAGCAGTGGTGGAGCAGTATTTGGTGGACCAGGAGGGGCTTCACGTGCTGGAGCCGCAGCCAGGGCTACTCAGAGTGTTCATGTGAGTCATAGTCTGGTACAGTGCGGTGCCATGCGGTGGTGGTTGGTGTGGGTGGGTGGGTGGGCATAACTGTGTCAGTCTTGAGGGGGTGCAGCACATGCCAGCAGTGGTGGAGCTGTCTTTGGTCGACCAGGAGGGGCTTCACGTGCTGGAGCCGCAGCCAGACCTTTTGAGGGTGTTCATGTGAGTTCTGTGCGGTGCAATGAGGTTTAGTGTGGTCCAGTGCGGTGGAGTGTGGTATGAGTGGGGATATCTGTGGTGCTTGTGCACTGCAGCACATGCCAGCAGTAGTGGACCAGGAGGGCCTTCATGTCCTGGAGCTGCAGCCAGGCCTTTTGAAGGTGTTCATGTGAGTTTTTGTGCGGTTTGATGCGGTGGGGCGGGGTATGTGTCCGTCTGACTTGCTGTGCCCGTCCATGCCATATCCCACTGCTGCTACAGGCATAACTAGGCTTATGCTACCCCCCCTCCTCCCCTGCATCTTCCCCCACCCCCTGCCCCGCCCCATTCTCCCACAGCCCATCTGTGCCGTAGCCCACTGCTGCATGTGAGGAAAGAGGAGGGGAGGGGAAGGGAGGGGACGGGAGAGGAGAGGAATGGAGCACCTTTAGTCAGTCAGTCAGCAAGGAGGCATGATGCTTGCTCTGCTAACTTCTAACGCCCATGAATCACCACAGCTACACCCAACAACCAACAGCAGCAGCAGCTATTCAGCACAGCAGCAGCTGTCCAGCTCATTTACACCGCCAACCAACCAACCGCAGCCTGACATGTGGACAGCGCAAGAGCTGCCCCGCCAACCAACCAACCACAGCTGCGGTCAAGCTAACACCTACCCCTACCCGATGTCCTGAGTCCTCACCACTGGCTCAGAATGGTCACTGCTCTTATAGAGGTGGCTTTAAAGTCGACTCCACAGTCACCTTCCCAGTGGCTCCGAAAGGGTCTTCTTCACCAGCTGTTTTTGCAGCTTGAATCTGCCTAACACCTACCTCCTAACTTAGAGAGCAAGCCGTGCCTCCACCTGCTGCTTACAAGGTGTCTCTGGTCCTCCTCCTGAGCTCCTGTTTTACCGACCAGGCCTTACCAACCTTCTGATGGGTTCCATCTTCCTTCTGAGACATGGTGTTTCAACTGCTGTGATACTAAGCTTCAACTTCTGAGACACGGGGGGGTCTCAACTTCCAGCCTCCAATGGCGGCAGCAGACATTGGGTGGCAACCTGGTTAAGAGATCTTGCCACTTGGTGTGAGGCGCTGACTGTACGCTACAAGCAAGCAGCTGCTAACACCTGATGCAGAGAATCTAGACGTAAGGCAACGCCAGCAGCAGCAGCAGCGACAGCAGCAGCAGCAGCCGCAGCCGCCTGGTATTCTCTCCGAGTTGTTCTTGTTCAGATTCGATTTGGTTTTGATTTGGTTCATGCTTTCCTGCTTAATTCTCTATTTCCGTTACATTCTAAACAGCTCAGATTCAGTACTGCTTTATTTGCATTTGTAGCTATAGACTGCTATGCTTGCTTTATTCTATGTGATTGTTTACTGTAGTGTAGGTATGCTTGCACTGTGGTATGATCTATATGGTGTTTTAATGTAGTACTCTTTACTATTTCGATAATTTGGATTGATGCTGTATGAAATTCGTTACCATATGACTCATATTGCATCCCTCGTTCTACCCAACTTAAATACGGTATCCAGCATACCGTAGTTGTATCAAGCAGGGTTCTCCACCCTAGGTCGTTTCCCTCCCCATGGTTTTTGCATGGTCTGGGTAGCACCGGAAGGCACCGCTATCTGGTTCCTGTGCAACACATCCCTATTGACAAGGTAACCCAGGAGGGATATGCCGAGCCGGTTGAAGCAAATACCGGTACAGTTATACACTATGAACTCGTAAAAAGCAAAGGTGTATCACTTGCCCGCCTCTTGTTGTCCCTCGTCTACCAAAAGCAGCATGTTGTCAAACTGGGATGAGAACCAGAGCTTGCTCCTTCCTACCCAAGCGGGCCATTGTAACCACTGTAACATCAGATTTTTTTCGATGCCTTCTTTATTACGAGGAAACTGTACCATAGCCACAAATGTAGGATAATGTTATATACAAGCGTCATGGCCCAACCCGTAACGATCATGGTTTGGAGGAACAATTCGCCAATGTCCAACCGATCCTTGCATTCTCATTATCATACACCATAAGGTAACCCCACATCGTGATATCTGCAGCACAGGGAAACAAATTAAGGGGGGAGGGAAGTCGTTCCGATGAACTAGCATGCGAGGCTGACTCAAAAATCGTCTCATAGCATGCGAGGCTGCCACGGCAGACCGTATGGACAAGAAAGGATGCCAGGGCAAAAGAGGTTGCGAAAACCTAAAAGCGCAAGCATACCTTCTCGCCTCAGAAATAGCTTGGCAAGAGACTGAATCCTGGACCGCGTTTTTCTACACGGTGTGGAGTAAACTACAGTGGAAAATGCCGCGCCTCCAGCAATGGTCCGGTAGACCATATGAGTAACCGTACCTCCGACGGTGCACATTACCGTACCTCGGATGGTGGTCTGCCCTAACTTTGCATTACCGTACCTCCGATGATGGTTCGGGAAGCGCCTCCCAATGCGATTGACTCATCTCCGTCCAGAATAAGGCAAACTGTGCCATGCCTCTGTGGCACATTAGGGGTGAAGCGGGTGGGAAGACGGGGGAGAGGGGTGGAGGAAGAGAGGGGAAGAGACGGGAAGAGACGGGAAGATAATTTAAAACAAATTTCCAAGAATATTCGCTCCACGCTGCTCCACGCCTCTCCACGCCGCTCCACGCCGCTCCACGCCTCTCCACGCCGCTCCATGCCGCTCCACGCCTCTCCACGCCGCTCCACGCCGCTCCACGCCTCTCCACGCCTCTCCAAGCCGCTCCACGCCTCATTGGCACCTTAGGGGTGAAGGGAGTGGGAAAAATGGGGAGAGAGGAGGAGGGAACGGGGGAGAGGGGAGGAGGGAACAAAGGGGAGAGAGGAGGAGGGAAAGAAGGGGAGAGAGGAGGAGGGAAAGAGGGGGAGAGAGGAGGAGGGAAAGAGGGGGAGAAAGGAGGAGAGAAAGAGCGGAGAAGCAAGAAGGTGACGTGACTGTTGCTTACCCCAAAAAACCCCCTTCCATTTCTCACCGGTGAGAGGAGGTACGGTAAAAGAGCAACGGAGAGATCAGCTGACGAGGAGAAGATTGAATGCAAGTCAACGGGGAAGGTGAGTGGAGAGAGGTGAGATGCCACGTGAGTATCTCTTACCCCCGAACCACCACCCTACCAATCACCTTTGTTGAACTACTCACCGGTGAGAGAAGGTACGTTGAAGGAACTACTGTGACATAAGCCACCCTGCCAACCACCCTACCAACCACCCTACCAACCACCTTACCAACCACCTTACCAACCACCCTACCAATCACTGGAGTGGAGAGAAGTGAGACGCCACGTGAGTGTTCCTCACCCAAACCCCGTCTTACCCTACCAACCACCTTTGTTGCGGTACTCACCGGTAAGAGGAGGTACGTGGAAGGGGCGACGGAGAGATGAGACGGCGAGGAGAAGATGGAGTGCGAGTCAAAGGGGAAGGTGAGGGCAGAGAAGTGAGAAGTGACATGAGTGCTGCTTACCCCTAAAGCCCCCCATTCCATTTCTCACCGGCGAGAGAAGGTGTGTGGCGGGAGCAACAGAGAGGTCTGCTGACGAGGAGAAGATGGAGTGTGAGTCAAAGGAGAAGGTGAGTAGAGAGCTATGAGCGTTCTCACTCACCCAGCCACCCCCTTACCAACTGATTGTCGCACCACCATACCAACTGATTGTCGCAGTAACTCACCGGTGAGAGGAGGTACGTGGCAGGAGCAACGGAGAGATCAGCTGATGTGGAGAAGATGGAGTGTGAGCCAAAGGAGAAGGTGAGCGAAGAGAAATGAGATGCCACGTGAGTGTTGCTTTACTCAGAACCCCCTTCTTTCCAATTCTCACCGGTGAGAGGAGATATGTTGAAGGAGCAACGGAGAGATCAGCTGATGTGGAGAAGATGGAGTGTGACTTAAACGAGAAGGTGAGTGGAGAGAAATGAGATACCACATCAGCGGTGGACCTGAGAGGACGGCATGGGGAGGGATGCATTGGGAATGCATGGGGTTGGTTGCATGGGGTTGCGAGGGGTTGCATGTGAACGCATGTGAATGCATGGGGAACCACAGCAGTGGTGGTGGTGACTTTTGAGTCGACTCAAAAGTCACCTAGGAAGCACCGCGGTGGTGGTGGTGCACCATACAAACAGCGAAAAATGGGTTTTGAGGTGCCTCAAAAGTACTCACAGCAGTGGTGGTGGTGCACCATACAAACAGCGAAAAATGGGCCGAATTTTGAGTCGATTCAAAGGCCTACCCGTACTCTTCCCATCCCACGCACCTGATCTCGGCAGTCCCTATCCCTGCCTCCCAACAGTGGGGTAGCACAGTCACGTGGGGGTGGTAGCATCACATAAATTGCAAGGAACGACTCTATTCCTGAATTGAGTAAGTCAATAGCCTATCCCGACTCTCCCCATCCCACGCACCTGATCTCGGCTGCCCCTATCCCTGCCTCCCAACAGTGGGGTAGCACAGTCACGTGGGGGTGGTAGCATCACATAAATTGCAAGGAACGACTCTATTCCTGAATTGAGTAAGTCAATAGCCTATCCCGACTCTCCCCATCCCACGCACCTGATCTTGGCTACCCCTTTACCCGCCCGCCAGCAGTGCGGTAGCACAGTCACGGTGGTGTCTGGTTGCAAGCCTGCTGCTGCTGCATCGGCTGATACCTGGGAGGAGGGGCGCGAGAGGGTCAAGAGAGCAACAAAGGAGTTGGAGTCAGGGACTAGTGCCCCTTTCCTTGCTCGCCAGCAGTGGGGTGGCACAGTCGTGGTGGTGTCTGGTTTGCATGCCTGTCGCTGCTGCATCGGCTGATACCTGGGAATGGAAGGAGGGGGAGGGAAGGAACAATGGTATAAGAGAAGGGCGCAGAGCAGGTTTTGAACATAGAGGTGGTCCTTACGCGGTGCTGGAGTCTGGTTGGTTGCATGCCTGCCGCTGCTGCATTGGCTGATACCAACCTGGGAACGGAAGGAGGGCGGGGGGAGGAGCAATGGGAAAAGACAAGGTGGCAGGACAGAGCACGATTCATTGAGTGACATCCCATTCGCCACATGGCGACCTGCCAGCAGAGCAGTAGAACAGTCGTGGTGGTGTCTGGTTTGCATGCCTGCCGCTGCTGCATCGGCTGACATCTGGGAGGAGGGGCGCGAGGGGGTCAAGAGAGCAACAAAGGAGTTGGAGTCAGGGACTAGTGCCCCTTTCCTTGCTCGCCAGCGGTGGGGTGGCACAGTCGTGGTGGTGTCTGGTTTGCATGCCTGCTGCTGCTGCATCGGCTGATACCTGCGAGGAGCAGCAAGCGAGGGGCGAGCACAAGGAAGATTGGAAGGATTTTAAGTGCCTCAAAAAGCGAGAACAGGTCAGATTGGAAGCAGCCTTCCAAACCCTCACCATCAAACTTTTTGCCACACCACAAAAATATAAAATTTGAGACGACACTAAAGGTATCTATTTTTTGTTCTAATAAGAAGCAGGCAGGTAAACGAACAAGCTTTGAGAAAAATCTCACAAGTCTCCCAAAACTTGTTAGCAACACCTCAAATCGAACAGAGCAGCAGGCAGGTAGGATGTGGACAAACACACATCACCAGCTTTTCTTTCTGATGCATCTTAGTACCGTCACTCACCATCTGTAGCAGTGCATCCAAGGGAGCAGCAGGCACGTAGGCAAACGACGACCCAGAGTCGAACACCCGCGTGAGAATGATCAAGATTTGATACGTCTCACGATTTCCCAGAAACGCTCACCATCTGTAGCAGTGCATCTAAAAGAGCAGCAGGCAGGTAGGCAAACGACGACCCAGAGTCGAATATCGCCCCTCCTCTTTCCACTCCACCCAGCAGGCAGGCAGGTGACACTTCACCCGCTTCTTTTTAGTAATGCTTTTAGTAATCACCTCCTTCTCTTTTTAGTAATGCTTGGAATCGCACTCACCATCTCCAGCAACGCTTCAAAAGTAGGACCAGGCAGGTAGGCAAATGACGACCCCGAGTCAAATATTGCCCCTCCGCTCTCCACTCCATCATCCTCGTTATAAGCAGATGCAGTGCCTGCGTGCTTATTGTGGAGCGCCTTGGGATCGTCGATGGGAAGCTTCTTGGAACCGTAGGAGATGCGGAGGAGGGATGCGTGGTAGTAGCGGCTGGGGGGATGGGTGAGGATGGGTGAGGATGGGTGAGGGGATGGGTGTGAGGGAATGGGAATTAGGAAAGACGGGGATGAGTTGAGAAGGAAGAAGGAATTACCTCACTCACTCCATCACTCATCTGCTTATCATTCACTCCCTCACAAACTCTCTCACTCACTCCCTCACTCAATCACATGTCGCTTGCTGCAGCTCGAGGGGTCCAAGTGAGAGATCCTCACTCAATTCAACCAACCATTTAACTCTCCTCACTCACTCCCTCACTCACTCACGTGTCGCTTGTGGCAGCACGGGGGGTCCAGGTGAGGGTGCTGGGTAAAAGCGCTTCCCCTATGAAGAAGTAACCTCCCCCAGATGCACCCGAACCGAGACAGTGGCCAAACACGTTTCGCCCCGCCCCTGCTCTGGACAGCTGCTTGTCTTAAGGGGAGGGGGGAGGGAGGGGCAGGAAAGGTGGGGACGACGGGAGGAGGAAAGGAGGGGGAGAATATGGGGAGGGGAAAAGGAGCAAACAGCACCAAACACTGGTAAACCTGATTAGAGTTGACCAGCATTGACCAGCATTGACCAGCATTGACCAGCATTGACCAGCATTGACCAGCATTGACCAGCATTGACCAGCATTGACCAGCATTGACCAGCATTGACCATCATTGACCATCATTGACCAGCATTGACCAGCATTGACCAGCATTGACCAGCATTGACCTGCATTGACCGGGGTAGGGGGACCCTCAGTGGCAAGAAGGGGGCACCTGGGCAGGGAGCGAGAGGTTGGAAGGACCGAGACCCAGCACCCCATCGGAGCGAGCAGGGGAGACTGCTAGGTTGTGGGGGCAGAATGGGATGGGTGGAGCAAGGCGGAATGGGAAATGGCTGGTTGTAATTGGAAAGGAGGATGAGAAAAAGCTCCTTCCTGGTCGTACAACCAGAAAAGTGACAAAATATAGCAGAACCATACGCTGCTTATAACTATTTTATATAATCTCACCCGAATGTGAACTGCGCGGCCTTGAGTGTGCCCGAGGGGTGCAGGAACAGTAACCTATCCGTTACAAGCACCCCCTGGGAGCTGCTTCCGTCTGCGTACACTATGTCATAGTCACATTGCCCGCTGCTGCTGCTGTCACCCTCGTTATTGTCACCCTGGTTACTGTCCTCAGCACCACCAGCAGCAGCAGCAGCTGCTGCAACGCTGCTGGTACCGTTTGTAACCCCTCTGGACGCCTCTTGTAGATGCCGTGGCTTGGTATGAACCCCCTCTCCGACCCGACCCGCATCCGCAGCTTCGGCACCCTCCGAGCCTGAATGGGTGTCTTCCGAGCCTGAGGAGCAGCCTCGGATGAAGCCTGTCTGTGCGGCTTGGCAGAGGTCGGAATGGCAGTCCACCAGAGAGGCATGGGAGGGGTCGTACCATGGGTTGGGACCCTGAGATGGGAGAAGGGGAGGAATCAAAGCAAGAACAACACGAGGAGCCAGTATATTGAGATTACTCAACGAGGAAGTAGGGGTGGGGAGCAGGCAGAGCACGAGAGAGGCATGGGAGGGGTCGTACCATGGGTTGGGGCCCTGGGGGGAGGGTGGTGTGGGAGAGGGGAAAGGGAGGGGAGAGGGGAAAGGGAGGGGAGAGGGGAAAGGGAGGGGAGAGGGGAAAGGGAGGGGAGAGGGGAAAGGGAGGGGAGCAAGACGGGCAACATGAGGATAAGCAGGGAGAGGCAGTCCACGAGAGAGGCATGGGAGGGATCGTATTGTATCATGGGTTGGGGCCCTTAAGGTGAGTTGGGGGACGCTGGAGGGGGGCTAGCAGCGCCATCACATCACAGGGTCCCCACAGAAGAATCGCCTGAGCATAACAGAATTCCCACCTGAGCGGAGCGCAACATAAGAATCACCTGAGCACAAAAGAAAAAATCACCTGAGTGCAAAAGGAATATCACCTGAGCGCAACAGAGTCCCACCTGAGCGCAACAGAGCCCCACCCGAGCGCAACAGAGCCCCACCTGAGCGCAACAGAGCCTCACCTGAGCGCAACAGAGTCCCACCTGAGCGCAACAGAGCCCCACCCGAGCGCAACAGAGCCCCACCTGAGCGCAACAGAGCCCCACCTGAGCGCAACAGAGTCCCACCTGAGCGCAGTTCACGCAGGGAGCATCGCAAGCCACCCAGGAGACATGGCTTCCCGTGTCTATATCAAGAAAGTAGGTCCTAGGAGGCGTGCCAAGTCCCACTGCTATGTAGTAGAGCCTAGAGGGGAGGGGAAGAGGGGTTGGGATGGGACAGAGGGAAGATTGAGGAAATTGCAGAAACGAGTGCAAGACAGAATGGGAGCATGCCAAGCCACTGCTGCCCGTGTCTATGTCCTTTGAGGTGTATTTTGAGGAAATTGCAGAAACGAGTGCAAGCCACCACTGCCCGTGTCTATTTCCAGAGAGTAGGCACGAGGGGTGGGGCGTGTGACATTATTCTCAGCGAGCTGCAAAGCCACCGCTGCCCGTGTCTATGTCCAGAGAGTAGGTGCGAGGGGCGGGGCGCCGAGGAGAGGCCGTGTGTATGTGGAAGAAATAGGTGCGAGGAGAGGAGGGGTGCCGAGACCCACTGCTATGTATTAGAGCGTGGGGGGGGAAAGAGGAGAGAGGGAAAGTGACAAGCCGTCCAGGGCACACATGGCTGGGCGTGTGTATGTGGAGGAAATAGGTGCGAGGAGAGGAGGAGACATGAGAAAAGAGAGGGGAAATAGGAGAGATTGGCTTGACTTCCCGTGGCTGCCCAGGACACCCATCCCCACCCATCCCCACCCATCCCCACCCATCCCCATCCATCCCTCCTTTCTCCCTCTCACCCTTCTGGGAAGATACGCCATGAATGCGAGTCACTGCCGCCGACCCCCCATACTTCATTGATATACATCCAGGCCCCACATCCATCCCCCCACACCCATCCCCCCACACCCATCCCCCCACATCTCTCACCCCCTCCCTCTCACCCCTCGGGGAAGATGTGCCCATGAATGCGAGTCACTGCTGCCGACGACCCCTTGACCAATCGCAGCCCGCCAACTGGCACTGTGGCACCTGCTGCTGCCGCCACTGCTGCACTGTGCTGCCTGCTTCGCACCTGATAAGGGTGGGGGGGGAGAGATGAGATAGGCAAGGGGGAGAGAGAACGAGCAAGAGAGGGCAGAGGAAGGAAGGTGGCATTTGAGAGAGAAAGGAAATTGTAACAGATGGAGAGACTTCTTACCCAAACTCTCACCTGAACTCTCGCCTGAACTCTCACCTGAGCCCTCACCTGAATTCTCACCTGAACTCTCACCTGAGCCCTCACCTGAACTCTCACCTGAACTCTCACCTGAACCGTCACCTGAACTCTCACCTGAACTTTCACCTGAACTTTCACCTGAGCTCTCACCTGAACTCTCTCCTCATCTCTCTGCAGCAACCGCCTCAGCCTTCTCAACCCGGCCTCCTCCCTCCACTCTTTCCCCTCCCCCAAGTCCCCCCCTTCCCTCCATCCCCTCTCCCTCCCCTTCCCCTCCCCCAACCCCGCCTCCCCCACCTCCCCCCCTCTGTTCCCGCTTCCCGCCCTCCCTTTCCACATTCTTTCCCATGTACGTCGCTCCCTTCTTCCTGCCACGTCATCACCTCCTCTTGAGGCACCTGCGCTATAGTCACTCAGGCTATACTCCCCCCCTCCCATAAGAGACTCTTCGTTAGAAACACCATCGTTCCCCTCTTCCCCACTTCCCCCGACGTCTCCCCCTCCCCTTCTCCCTCTCCTTCCCCCTCTTCCGTCTCTCCCGCCTCCCCCGCACCGCGATTCCCACTGCGTGAATTCCTCCTCGCCTTCAAAATGCGCGCCGAAGCGCGGATTCAGCTGGTACACGTGCGCCAAGCCCGTGACAGACGCGGGACACGTGGCGCCTTCGGATTGGAAGAGGGAGGAGAGCGCTCGAAGGAGATTGGAGGTCTGGGGAAAGAAGAGGAAGAGGAGAGAGGGGCAGAAGAGGAGGAGGAGGACCAATAGACAAAGGACACGTGGCGAATAGCGGCGAATTTCTAGTAGCGAATGGGAATAGCTACGAGGTATTAGGGCGGAAACGTGACTGGTGATGGAGCGAGACGCCGGTCTGCTGAAAGTGCTTGTAACGGGCGTGCTTGTAGCGGAGCAGGAGCAGGAGTTTTCGATATAAGACGAGAGGAGGGGGATGGGCTGAGGCAGGTAAGAGGAGAATGTCGCAAGAAGGATCCGCCAACGACTTTGCGAACCGCGATGACACGTGGCACTGTGAGCGCGGTTCGGAGAGGACGGCGCGGGAGCATCGACATCGAGTTCGAAAGGCTGGAATCGCGGCGGATTTGGCGGATCCGGAGTGATAAGCGGCGTAATTAACGGAACGGACGCGTCGGACGAGTCGGCGTGCGGCCGTAGCCGGGCTGCCACGACTTCCGCCGCTTCTGCTGACGTGGAAGATGACGTGGAAGATGACGTGGATGATGACGCGGCCATGGAGTCATACGGCGAGGGCTCGACAGGCTTCGCCGCGCGGAACGGATTCCGTCTCATGCAGTTCAAACTATCAGCAGCTAATGTATTCTCTGTAGACAATTTGCAGTTGAAATCTCAGCTAATGTTTTTTCTTTCACCCCAACAACAGTCAATGGCGGTTCACGGATGCTCGATTAGAGGCGACGCGACGCCCGGAATCGAGTGTCTGACAACGCAAGGAGTCCGCGCAGCTTTGTTATCTTTACTAGCAGTTGCACGCAGGCGATATGGTGAGATAGAAATTTCTGAATAGAATACGAAGTAGGGCGGGGTAGAAAAAGCGGCACATACTGTACAAGCTGTGCATGCCGCCAGAGAAGGGGGGGAAGCAGGGAAGGGGGGGAGGAGAGAACCCCAGTTTTCGCCAGCAACTGCACCGTACCACAATTTTGGGGATTGCCATGAGTGATACGATTGGTTCATTGACGTGCAGAGGGCCGGTACCAAATTTCAGCACACGTGGACCCCTGGCAGAGGTTGGCTCCCAAGTGACGTCTTCGCCTGGAGAAGGCTGCATTTTCTCGCCACCTTCGCAAAGTAACGGTTTTGGGGAGTACACTCGACACAACCTCCGTTACAAAACCAGATTCAATGGGCCTGCTTGTTATGAGTTGTAAAACAGAGTTGCGCGGAAAACGGATATCGAAGCTGGCACTCAAGGAACTGAGAATAAAATGAAAGCACGTGAAAATATAGTCGCTACCCTAGCTAGGAGGGAACCTCAGGAAAACGTGCTTGGGTGCAGGTTTGGCGAAGGGAAATCCGAAGGCGACGCGGAGCAGCCTCGGAGTCGTGGATGTCGACCGAACGTGCGAAGCCCGAAAAGGTTGGTGTTGTACGCGTAGCAGTCAAACTGGATAAGGGAAATACAATTTCCTTACACTGCTTGTCTTTCCTATACAAACACTACTCAATTTCAGCTTTCATATGTGAATTTGAGCCACGTGCGTACCTTGAGCTTAAAGGCAGTATCCTTGTGCTAAAAGGCATGCTGCTGCCTGCTAGTGCAGTGCGTGCAAGTAATAATTTCCACTCTTTGTATGGTGCGAGATTTGTTAGTACTAGACACGCTGGCAAAGGGTATGACTCTGATGTTTATCCAGATGATGACATTTTCGCATGGAATTATTTAAACACCCATGCAACGCCTACAAAAAATATGACACTTGCAATTACACATCTCCTCCTGTCTATGGACAAGGCAAATTTGTCCCAACACAAGTAGGTGCTGCTGCAACGCCGGATTTGGGAGTGGCACCTCAACAAGCATACCATGGTGATTTTCAGGGTCCTCATGCACCCACGACGCATGAACGCAACCCCTGCTGCTACCTTATAAGCATGCCGTTGCATCTATTTTCCCTCAGTTGGGAGTGGCGCCCCGTACGGCATACTCAAAGTGGATTTTAGGGCCCTCATGCATCCACCATGCCTGCACGCTCTCCAGTTTCGACCGAGCCACACAGAGCTGTCACCAAACATCATCAAATATACTGTTGTAATAAAGGCCTGCTGTTGCTTCCCCTATCTTAAGTTGGTAAGTACAAATTTGTTAGGATTTTTAGATTCTATACCTGAAGTTTGTAACGCAACGGAAGACTTCGAATACTTGAGCCGATATATGAGATCAACAGATACAAGAAGACATACTTATAACAAGTGCCTAATCAAAAGATACAAGAAGGTTGTTAAAACATATATGGTTATATTTCCTTAGGCTATAGTGGGGTTAGTCATTAGGGGGTACAACCTCTTTCTCGACACTTGATTGTACCCACCTTGCCTTGACCTATCTCATTCATCCCTCATAGTTCTCGAGGTACAGGAGTTGGAGGTGCTGGAGGTACTGGTGCTGGAGGTACTAGTACTGGAGGTGCTGGTGCTGGAGGTACTACTGGAGGTGCTGGAGTTGGTGGTGCTAGTCGGCAGGAGTCGCTCTCGCCGCAGCAGCTTCGCGACTGGGCTGTCCGGTGGGGCAGCCCCGGTGGTGGAGCTGGAGGTGCTGGTACTGGGGGTGCTGTCACTACTGGAGCTGGAGGTTTTGGGTGTGCGACTACTCAGCAGCAGCCGTCTGCGCTTCGTCACCTTCTCAGTCTCCCGCCTGCTGTTACTGAGTTCCCTGTTGCTGGCACTACTCCTCCGTTACTGTTTCCACCACTTGACCAGTCTCAGCCACAATTACTGCCTCACTCCCCACTGCCTGCTCCTGCTCCTTACACTGCGGTGACAGCATCCCTTACTGAGAGTAGAGAGCCTGCGTCGCATCCTGTCACGCCTGTCCGTACTCGACGTACTGCCCGTCCTCGTCCTCCACCTGTCTCCGACACGCACACCATGGCACTTCGTCCTTCCTCTGTTCCACAACGTGTTGTCCTGCAGTCGCCTCCTGTGTCCTCACTTTCTCACGTTCCTGACCCTGAGTCTGACCGTGTTCGTGCTGTCAGTCCGACTGTCACTCGTCTTCTTGCTACGGTTCTGACTGGCCCTTCCTTTAAGTCAGTTGCTGCGTCTGCCTTAGTTGCTGAGCTTGTTGACTTTGCTGCTCTGTGCCGCCTTGACTATGCTGCGAGTCTTGTTTTTGACTCTGCATATCCTCCGTCCGGGGGTGAGCTTGCCCTTGGATGTGACGTCCTTAAGGACAGATAGTTTGAGCTCAAGTGCCTAGTGGCCGCTGCACCTCATCTCGCATCCATGCTACTTTGCCCTGAGGGAGACCTGGATGCACTAGAAATCCCGACCCCGCGCTCTTACGCTGACGCGATCACGGGTCCGTACTCCTCTCACTGGCAGACAGCCATGGACGCAGAGATGGCTTCCTGGAAGTCCACATGCACCTACGTCGACGAGGTTCCCCCTCCTGGGGCGAACATCGTCGATGGCATGTGGATTTTTCAGAGTGAAGCGGCCACCGGGTTCTCCGCCTGCCTTCAAGGCGCGTTACGTTGCACGAGGCTTCGGTCAGTGTGAGGGGGTCGACTTCTTCCATACCTTCTCACCCACCCCGAAGATGACCACTCTTTGGGTGTTACTTCACGTTGCAGCACAGCGTGACTACGAGCTGCACTCCCTCGACTCGGGTGTTACTTCTTGACAGCCTTCCTGCAGGGAAGCCTTCACGAGGCGATCTGGCTGCGCCACCCTCATAATTTCACTGGGTCGTTTCCTGAGGGTATCCAGTGGAGCCTCCTGCGGCCAGTGTACGGTATGCGTCAGGCGCCCCATGAGTGGCACGACACATTGAGGACTACGCTTGCGGCTCTTGGTTTCGCTCCCTCGACGGCTGACCCTTCGTTGTTTCTGCGCACAGACACTTCTCTGCCGCCGTTCTCCCTTCTCGTGTACGTCGACGAATTGGTTTTTGCTACTGCTGACACTGAGGCACTAGCCCTAGTAAAGGCGGAGCTGCTGGAGAGCACACCTGCACTGACCTGGGTGAGTTGCGTAGCTATCTTGGCTTGCAGATCACCCGGGACAGAGCACGGCGCACCATCACCCTAACACAGTCACACATGGTGCAGCAGGTCCTTCAGCGCTTCGGCTTCAAGTTCTCCTCACCACAGCCCACTCCTCTGCCTACGGACCACTCGCTCTCAGCTCCACATTCGGACGAGTCCGTTGAGTCGAGTGGTCAGTATCTAGAGCTTGTGGGTTGCCTCATGTACTTGATGACATGCACACGACCTGACCTCGCGTACCCTCTCAGCCTCCTTGCTCGCTACGTTGCACCCGGTAGACACCGGAAGGAGCACTGGATAGCTGCACAGAAGGTACTTGTGCAGTACATCAGGCATGGGGCTTGTGCTTGGGGGACATGGTCCAGTTGTTCTCACCGTTCACTCAGACGCTTCTTGGGCTGACGACCAGGCGACTCACCGGTCGACACAGGGTTATAGCTTCAGCCTCGGCATTGGTTCTGTCTAATGGAGGTCCACTCGCTTGGCTTCTGTACTTAGGTCCAGCTGCGAGGCCGAGATCTACGCTGGGGCTATGGCTGCACAGGAGCTCCGCTGGCTGACCTACCTGCTGACCGACTTGGGTGAGCGGCCTCGTTCTCCTCCAGTCCTGTACGTCAACAACAAGGCCATGATTGCCTTGTGTTAGGACCAGAGACTGGAGCACATAACGAAGCACATTGCGTTTCGTTACTTCCTTACACAAGAGTTGCATCAACGTGGTCAGCCTCGCCTCTTGTACGTGGCCTCACAGGCCAACACTGCTGATGTCTTCAGCAAGGCCCTCGGGTCTGGTGATCATCAGCGTTTCTGCACTGCTCTTGGGCTTATACCCAATCTGCCTCACCTGTTTGTCTCTTGATATTGCCTTGCACTTCTTGTACACTGATATATATGATTCTACCTGCATACTTACACTTGCTAGGTTTTGATCAGTGTAATGCTCTCGCTATTATAAACTCTGCATGTGAACTGGCCTTGTGGCCACTTTCTTGTGCTCGGAATGTGTGATGATCTTTAGATCCATCCTGAGCTTTGCTTCGTTTGCTTCTCTTAACTGGTCTTGTGACCATTGCTTGCTCTTGCTATCCCCCACTTCGCCTATGAGGGTGTGTTAAAACATATCTGGTTATATTTCCTCAGGCTGTAGTGGGGTTAGTCATTAGGGGGTACTGATGAGAAACGAGGAATGATTGACTAAGGAATGAGTGTGATACAAATATGAACCCTAGAATTGTGTACCCCTTAGTATCTAACCCGCTACAGCCTATACAGACTAGATCATATAAGTCTGACACACCCCCATAGGCAAAGTGGGGGAGAACAAGGGGTCACAAGACCAGTCAAACAAAGCAAAACAAGCTCAGGGTGGATCACAACGTCACCACACATTCCGAGCACAGGTTCAAGGCCACAAGGCCAGTTCACATGCAGGATCATATATATAAAGGTAAACAAGCAAGTGCAGGTATAGAAAGATCACAGTACAAGCAAGGTCAAGAAGTGAGCAAGTGAGGCCAAGTAGGCACAAGACCTAGCATCGTACAAAAGCGCTGATGATCACAA